GGCACGAGGAAGGATACTTGTGTAGATGGAGCTATTGGTGGAGGTGAGAAGCTCTAACACCACTGCATCACCAGGAAGGGCTTGATCTCGGATTCAGACACAAATATCCTGACCCTGAAGTATGCCATGACGACTTCAGTGTTTCCCAATTTGCCTGACCATAAGGTTTGCACATGGTTCTTGTGAAAGTACAAATTAACAGACCCTTCTCCTTGGAGACTTACAGTAGGCCCAGGACCTGTGGGGTGAGCCCTGAGAACCTATACTTGTCATCAATTCTCCAGACTATCTTAGGACCAGCGTCTGGAAGATATTCCTCAGGGTGAAGGACAGCGTGCTCCGCACCCATCTGGCTCTTGCACAAGTGCCAGGAAAGAGTAAGGCATTGGCTATCAAGCTGCTTCTCTGTCTATTTCTGCTCCCAAAACAATGAAAGCAGTGCAGCCCCAGCCTCACCTATCCCTAAGGAAAGGCAGCCAACAGGACTTCTCTGCACATACAAAATGTGAAAAGCAGAGGAAGTATTATTGTGCAATTGCTTGGAAACCCATAGCATATTGTGAAAATTGTTCTGGCTGAGGCCCTTGCTCAATAAAAATGTGTTTTTACCTCACAAGTACGTGTTGCTCAGATCCCAAATAAGGTATCCCCTGATTCTTCCCAGAAATCAACAACTTTTCTGAGCCTGGAGTTACCAGGGTGCACAAACTTTGCCCATAGGTATCCCTGAGATAAAGGCAGAGTTGAGGGCCAGGAACAAGGTCTGGGAGAGGGAGAATCCTGGTCTTTTTTAAACACTACTTTTCCAACCAGATTAGGTGAGCGCGGCTATATCCTAGCTCCTTGGGAGGCAGAGGCAGGAGGACTGAAAGCTGGAGGCCAGCCCGGGCAATATAGCAAGACACTGTGTCAAAATTTAAAACAACAAAACCCACTCCTTTCTACCCTACTCTTTTCTGGAAGTCCTTGCTTAAATCCTAGTCATCCTTTGTGAATCAACTCTTTCAGACAGCCTTCCCTGCCTGCAGCTGGTACAACTTTCCTTTCCTATCACTGCTCTTAACACTTGCTATGTCCCTATCTCAAGCAGTGCAGATGACTTCTCCTCAGAACTGAGCACCTGTTTTCTCTCCGAGCTGCAGGTTTGTTCATTTATAGGTTCCCAGGCTCTCTGGGATCCTGTTTCAAAAAAAGATTTTTTTTTTTCAAAAAAATTATTATGGGTCAAGACATGAGTCTGGAACTATTGTGTCTTCCAAATTGCCTGAGAAGAATCACCTGGGACTGGTGTGAAATATAATCGGGCTCTCCTCTAGAGACTGGGGATTGGGATTTTTTGAGATGAGATCTCACTATATAGTCTAGGCTGGCCTTGAACTCTCTATATAGTTCAGGCTGGCCTCAAACTCATGGCAATCCTCCTGCTTCAGCCTCCTAAATTCTGGGGTTACAGGTGTATACTACCATGCCTGGCTCAATCAAAATCTTAAAGGGAGTTTTGTTTTTTGGTTTGCAGTGCTAGAGATCAATCCCAGGGCTTTGTGCAGGCTAAGGAAGCCACTCTAATACTGAGCTACATCTCCAGATAATTGCAATGTACAGCAGAGTTGAGAATCGATGATTCAGTAGGCCCTACCCACAATAAAGTAAATTCATGAATAAATAAAACAAGACGATCTAAGAGGCTTGCCTTGGTTAACCTTGGTTTCAGTTATGTGTGCTATATATATAGATGCAAGGGAATTGCTAGATTAGCTTGAGGATAAGCCAAGGGGCTGTCTGTGCATCTCAGTGATAAAGAGCTTCCCTCACATCTGCAAGGCCCTGGGTTTGATTCCCAGTACCACAAAAAAATAGAAACAAAAACAAATCTGCAAATGAGTCAAGAGAAATGGGAGCAGATCTTGGGGCTCACAGACCAGCCATGGGGACAGACTGTACAGTTCATGGGCATGGGGTGTGGGCAGAGCACGCAGGGGCTCTGCAGAGTGAGGCCGTGAGGTCAGCTTCAGGACAGTTGCACTGGGAGCCTGTTTGAACTGAGTAATGAGAATGAACAGAACGTTGTCTTCTAGGCTCTGAGGACAAATGTGCATAGTTCAGGGGATGAAAAAATGTGGCAAATTCAGGAAAGGGATCCAGCAGTGCCGGCCCTGTGGATGGAGCCCAGAGGGTGTGAAGGGGAGTGACAGAGGTAGGCCTGGATGACTGCAGAGGCCTGGGAAATGTGAGCAGAAGAGAAAAGAAGGTCACTGACCCCTCGTTAGAGGATGACCTCAGGTGACCTTATCTGGGCAGAGTCACTAGCAGCAGCTGAGACTACAGATAGTTTTTGTAAAGCTGTTCACGTGAACACAAGGGCCCCAGCAGCCTGAAGGTACTTGATAACTTTCTAGAAAACTTTTGCAGGTGGTGGTGGAAGGTGCTTTTCCAATGATCAACCACCAACATTTCTCTGTCCCTTTTCTCAAAAACCCTGATCCTTGTGGGGAGGAGCTCCTGGGAGCCTTACACATGCCAGGCACTGAGCTACAGCCTTCAGTCCCAAGACTCTCCCTTTTAACAGTTCTGCCCTTCATCAGCATCACATTTCGGCAAACATATGCTAAGCACACATTTTTGAACAGAGGTTTTGACCTCCAACATTTACATATCAAAAAATAGCTGACTGGGGGGGGGGATTCTTATGGGGACCCCAGAGCTGGAGGGACAAAGGCCTATGTTGTGGCCTGTGCCATGATGGAAAGGGACTGGCTCAGCTCCAGACTAGTGTGTTTCTGGTAACATGGGATTTTCTCACTCTTTTGAGTCAGTTATACCCCAATTCTATGTTTAATTTCAATCTTTCCCTTCTCTTTATGCTTTGCAACAGGAGAATAACCTCTCTATTCTAATCTGAAATTAATTATTTATGCTTATGAATACACTGGATACCTGCCTAGTTTATCTATTTTTTGAATAATACATACAAATAGAACTCACATATGCTATGACAAGCACAATTTTGAGGTAAGTGCCCTTTCTCCAACTGCTGCTTGATTTGACTGTTCTAAGCCATGGTGTGGCCTTGTCATTTTCCTATGGAGTCCAAATCTAGCTCTTGCACACTAATTAGATACTAGCTGGCTGCATCTGGTAGCGAAGATCTGGCACTATCAGGCCACCACCTGACTACAGTCTTATCTCCTGCTGCAGTGACTTTCTCCACTGGTTCAAATTCCACCCATTCAACCTCCAAGGACCAGTTCAAATCCCTCCTACCCTAGGAAGCCATCCCTCGTACTCTCTGAAAAGGAAAAGCCCCTCATGCTTCTAAATTTGCAGCCTTCCTTTTCTGTGTCCTGGATTAGTCTTTCAGCTTGCTTGAGAGCACCTGCCACACAGCAGGTGTCTCCTAGACAGTTTGCTAAAGTGGGGAGGCATGGTCTCCTACATCCTAAGAAGATGCACAGGATGGGAAGTCATCGAGTTAGAGCTGATCCTACTAATGCTTCACTACGGTGGTGGCTTATTCACTGGGTTAACCCCAAGTAAACTACATACATGACATATTTGACAAACCTCCTAAAGTGCCTCCCTTTTCAGGCTCTTTTCCATTTCTTCAGCTCCTCAAACCAATTGTGTGTGGTCCAGCTTACAAATTAAAGTCAGGTCCATTCCTTCCACTGAAAATCACTTACAATGGAACACAAGGTGGGATGTTGTGGCTTATATTTAGATGTGCCCCAAAGCCTCATGTGTTCATAGGTAGGGTTTGGGGGAGGTGATTGGATTATGGCAGACCAATTCACTGATGTGTTTATAGGTAAGTGTGATGTTGGGAGGGAAAGCTTGGTGGGAAGGGTCTATCTCCTTCCTCTTCCCTTGATCCCTCTCTGCTTCTTGTCTGCCTGCCATGAGCAATCCTCCTCTGCCACGCCACCCTGTCTTGAAGCTAGCAACTATGGATGAGGTTCTGCAAACTATGAGCCAAAACTTTTCCTCCTTAGAGTTGTGGGTGTTGGATATTGTCTCAGTGATGAGAAAATAAGACACAGGGGTTACTTTTCATCAGGGATTTGGGGCTTAAGGAGATTCCACCTGTCCAGGGTAACTCCCAGGAAGTGCCACGACTCTGACTGTGACCCAGGCTTCCTAATTCCGGGTGCAGTGACCCTTCCAAGATCCCATAAGTTGGTTCAAATTTAAAAAAGGGTTTAGCAGTGATTTCTATATCCTAAAGCACACAAAAGCTGTTTTGTGAATTGTAGCCCAGCTTGCTGATAAAAGACGCCCTGAAGGTGTCGGGAAACAACCTAGGCTACACAGAGGAGCCAGGAGGCCACTGAAGATCCTTTAGTTGCACGCACCACCCAGAGAACCCATTCTTCCTAGAATCCATCAGTAGGTTCCACGCTAAATAACGCGTTGGCTGTTTCTGTCTCAGCGAGGCCACCGTACGACATCATAGTAAATTACCAGGACTAGCGGTTCCCCACAGCCTGACGTCAGGTGTGACGGCGTGACCCCTCTACCTGCCCCGCTGGGGCAGCCTGCAGCCTAAGAAGTACGGGGGCGTCACCCTGTTGTTCGCCATCCCGGGAACAGAAGGCGGCCCCCTCACGTGACCCGCTCCGCCCAGTTTCTTGGATCCGTCCGGGTCTGCGCCTGCGCGGGCGCGGGCTCGCTCGCAGGGCGTCCTGCTGGCTGGCTGCAAAAACACGGGCTGTGGGGCCAGCGTCTGCGGCCATGGGTGAGTGTGTAAGAGGTGTGAGGAAGCCGGGGCTTCCGTAACGTTCCAGTGGAGAGAGGGGCAGCAGGAAGGGTCGAGGGGTGACCGCCGCCTTCGGGCCCCTGTGCGTGCGCCCGGACTCCCCGGGCCCTGTTCAGTGCTTCTGGGCTTCTTTGTTTTCCCTCCGGTCCGGAGTGCGCGGGGACGTCGTGATCGTGGCTGCCTGGCGACCTTTCCTACGCAGGTGTCTGTGCGTTCCCTCGGACGTGCTCCGGCCGGAAGGCGCCTCCCGGGCGCTGGAACCGCTAGGGCGGGGAGGGGCTGGGCATTGCTGGCGCCCGGGAAGCAGCGCGGGCATCGCGTATGGGCGCCCACCCTCGCCCTGGAGGCTGCGATTCCGGCTTGCTCACGGCTGGATCCTGGAACTGGAGTTTGAGAGACCCAGAGGTTCCTAATGATCTTGCCCAACTTCTCCTTTTTCACAGATTGGAGAAATGAATGTCTGGTGAATGCTTGTTGTGCGACACCATGTTGCATCGCCTTATAGGAAACCATTGTACAAGGCCCTTCGTAAGGGGGTGGTGGCGTCAGTCTGATATTTTGTTACTAAGTTTAGCGAGATGGAGTATGTCGACACCTCCGCTGTATGGACCACTGTGGCATAACTTTTATTTTGTCCCTTACAACCCTAATCTAGCTGGTCATAATTCCCACCTTCTGCTTCTCTACCTGTAATCTATGAAACAGAAGCCCTTTGGAACCTCCTCCGGCTTCACTTTGAAAGATCCATAGAATCCAATATAGAATGCCCGGCGGCCCGTTGCGGTTCTGTGGTTCCAAGGCACGGGTTAAGGCACTTTGGAACTCAGAGTCACCCTTAGGCATCTCAGGAGAAAATAACATGTGGTTTACTACTCCTAAGAGGAGGTGATTTCCCTGTTCTCTGGTTTGGTAGATGAAATAAGTGCAGACCAGACATTGCTGTGTGTTTATAGAGGCAAGATAAGGTCAGAACTAGGACTAGAACCCAGCCTGACCTTGTTCTGAATGCTGACTCAGACTTGCTGACTAGTGGGAATTCACATCCTTTGAGAATTACAGCCACCTTCGACCCAGTTTTGCACAAGACCTTTGCACTGGGATCACATCTGGATGCTGTGTATAGTAAGAGTATTTAGACTACATTTTTTTATGCCACAGAAGTTTGACCTTTGCAGTTGCTTGAAAGTTAACTTCATTAACTTCCTTCCTTACATTGAAATAGGTTAAATCTGTGGTAAGCACATCTTGCAATAAATTGCAAAGGATTTTTATCCAAGTTAAAGAATTTAAATGTAGAGATTAGTTTAGCAAAGAAATTTAGCCATGTTCACAGTAACCAGGCCAAATTCTAAACTCTGTTGCTGCAGAATACTGTGCACACTTCCTTTCCTTTTATTGCTAAATTATTCACACCATTCTAGTGTGTAGAATGAAACTAGAGGAAAAGCTTTGACTGTGTAAGGTCCAGGAGAGTTTTATAAGAGTCCTTTTTCCCATCTAGAACTTTCTTTTTCAGACAGGGTCTCATTACACAGTTTGGGGTGGCTTTTAGTTAACTGTGTAGCCCAGGCTGGCCTCGGACTTGCAGTGATCCTCCTGCCTCAGCCTCACAAGAGCTGAGAATGCAGGCACGTGCCATCACACCTGCCTAGAACTATTTTTAAAATCTGAGACTCGAGATGTACAATAAGGTTTTTTGAATTTCTTAAATTTGATATAATGGTCAGTAAATGACTGGCTAGCTTCTTTTAGGAAAATAAATGCTATTCCAGGAAAATGAACAGTGACACAATTTATATTGTTCAAGTGCAGTTTTATTTTATTTTATTTTTTTTTTTTTTGAGACAGGGTCTCACTATATAGTTCAGGTTGGCCTTGAGCACATATATCCCAGGCTGGCCTCAACTCGTGATCTTCCTGCCTCAGCCTCTAGAGTGCTAGTATTATATGCCTGCGCCACCACACTTGGCTAAATAAATTGGTTTGTATATTTCAGAAACACATATAGCTTAGAATTTGAAATGTATTGTTATGTGTTTTATATGTAAAAATAAAATGTTCTTGACATTCATAAATTGTCACAATGTGTAATATGTATATTAATGTAAATATTTTTGTTGATTTTGATATTATGAAACTAAAGCATAAAGCATTATATAGGTGTCAAGTATTTCTAAACTGAATTTTAATTTTTAAAATATTCATTAAGTCGTAAAGCCTCTGTACATTAAGTAAGGACAGAAAGAGAAATCAGGTAACATTCTGGAACCACTCTTTTTTAATGCTATTTTTATTGCAAATAACACTAAACCAGCCCAATGAAGATTTTAGAACACTTACAAGCAACTAGAATAAAATAAAATGCAGAATACCTTTAAAAAGTAATAAAGCCAGAAAAAAAAAAAGTAATAAAGCCAGGCACAGTTGCACATATGTGTAATCCTAGCACTCTAGGACACTGAAGCAGGAGGGTATCCCAAGTTCAAGCCCAGCCTGAGTGACTTAGACTCCATCTCAAAATTTTAAAAAGGAGCTGGGCATGGTGGCTTACCCCTGTAATCCTAGAATTTGGAGGCTGAGGCAAGAGGATTGCTGTGAGTTCTTGAGGCCAGCCTGGGCTACATAGCAAGACCCTGTTTCCAAAAAAGGGCGGGTGAGCAGGGATTTATTTAGCTCAGTGGTACCACCACCTGCCTCACAAGTACAAGGTCCCAAGTTCAGTCCCCGGCAAAAAAAAAATTTTTTTTTTTTTTTAAAGGCCACAGATGTAGCACAAGGCAGAGGTTCTAGGTTTAATTTCCAGCGCCAAAAAAAAAAAAAGTAATAAACATTTTTTTCAAAAGAAAATGCATAGCCGTAAGCACTGAAATTATGAAATCAGAATAACCATTTAATATAGGAAATTAAATGAGAGCATGAGAAAGGAAGTAATAAAGAGGGAAAGCAGATTTAAGAATTGAAAAATAATAAAATTGATCACTTAAATGCTGGTTCGTTGTGGGGGAGAGAAGTGAGAATTAGATAAAGTGGTTACCCTCTTAAGAAAAAGGGAAAATAAATGCACATAGGAATAATTTTTTAAAATAAAAGATATATAAGACTATAGAAATTAAGCTAAATTGTATTTATTTTTTTAAGGAAATCCAGGTATCAAAATTGACTCCAGAAAAGAGAACCTAACAGACCAGTAGTAATGGAAGAAATTGAGAAAGTTACCAGAAACCTGTCATTCCCTACAATGCAAGGCTCAGCTGGTGTCACAGGTAAATTTTTTAAAACTTCCACAGAACTTATAATTTTGACAAGTTCAAAACAGTTCCACAGCACCAAGAAGTCTTCACGGGTTCTTTTTACAAAACCAGTAGAACACTGACACTGGAACTTGACATGAAGATCGTACCAGAACTGAACACCTGATCGATAGGCATAGTAATGTGACATTTTAAGATAAAATATTAGCAAATGGTGGACTGGGGGTAGAATTTAGTATTAAAGCACTTGCCTAGCATGCACCAAACCATCAAATAAAGGTTTTGAGGCACGGGGCATGGTGGCTAATACCTGTAAACCCAGCACTTTGGAGGCTGAAGCAGGAGGATTGCAGTTCAAGGCCAGCCTAAATATTGAGACCCTGTCTCAAAAAAAAGTTTTGAAGCTAGATCTAGTGGTGCACACCTGTAATCCCAGCACTCTGGGTGGCTGAGACAGGAGGGCTGCAACAAGTACAACCCCGGCCTGGGCAACTTCGTGATTTCCTGGTCTCTAAATAAATTAAAAAAGAGCTGAGAGTGTAGCTCAGGATGAAGGCTTTGGGTTTGGTCTGTAGTATCTGCCTCCCAATATTTGTTTTTGATCTCCAGCATCAAAGAAATGTTTTTCAAATATTATTTAAGCAGCGTGTGAAACAAAATATTTCAGTTGGACGTGTTGATGTATGTCTGGCACTCAGAATGAAGCAGAATGATCACAAGCTTGAGGCCAGCCTAGTCAATTTAACAAGATTTTGTCTCAAAAAAAAAAAAAAAAAAAATTCCACCAAGGCCAAATGGGACACATCTCATATTATGACAGTGAATAATTACATAATACAGATAGTCTCTGATTTATGATTGTTCAACTTAAATATTTTGACACACATACCGCTACTCCCTCTCACACATGTGCACGCGCTCACTTTGTTAATGGTTTGTGTCTAGTTGTCCCCCCAAAGCCTCATGCAGATGAGGTAGTTGAATCTGGAATGTGCGATACTGGTGTTAAGGGCCTGTGATTACTAAACCACTACACTTGAGTGATGTGTTTGGCACCACCCTCATCCCTGTAGTTTGAATAAGGTAAAAGGGGCAGAACAGTGCTATTAAACTCAGTTTGCCTTGTGCGTGCTATGTTGTTTCTCCTCTGTGATGATTATTTGCTATCTCAGCCTCAGAGCCAGCCAGTTGTGGACTGAAACCTCTGCAAATTATAAGCCAAATAAACCCTTCCCCTCTAACTTTGGGTGTTGGGTGTTTTGTCTTGGCAATGAGAGAAAAGTAACTAACACACACTTCATTCTAAGGATGGCACGCAGGGCCTCGTGCTTTCTAGATAAGTGCTCTGCCACTGATCTTCAGCCCCCACCCTTGTTCCTTATTTTGATTTTTTTGTTTTTATTTTGAAGTGGAGCCTCACTCTGTTGCCCATTCTGGTCTTGAGCTACTATGCTTAGGTAATCCTTCCTCCTGAGCCTCCCGAGTGTGCAGCTTCATGCCTGACTCTACTTTGACTTTTTAATTTTCTTTCAGTACTGGAGTTTGAATCCAAGGTCTTTACACAATCCTAATCCTTGTATCATTTTTGAGACGGGGTCCCTCTAAGGTGCCCAGGTTGAGCTCAAACTTGTGATCCTCCTGCTTTAGCCTTCCAGAGTGTTGATTACTGGCGTGCACCATTGTGCCTGGCTTGTTTTGACTTTTTAATGATGTGAACTGATATGCATTCAGTAAAAACTGTACTTTAGAATATGAACTTTGGTCTTTTCCTGGGCTAGTAAGATGAAAGGCAGTCCCAGTAAGCCTTAACTCCCATTTGGCCATGCAGTTACAAGGTGAGATATGTTGTTAAGCTGTGATGTTCGGTAAGTTATGTGTATTAAATAAATTTTGAGAGGCCTGAGGATGTAGTTTAGTGTAGAGTATGTTTAGCACACATACATCCCTAGGTTCAATCCCCAGCACCAAAAACCTCTAAGTGCTTTCTATATTTTCTACATGCAGAGGGTTTATTAAGATGTAACTGCTTCATAAGTTGAGGAGCTTCAGTATACCAGATACTTCAGAAAAGAACAATGACAGTATTTCAGCCTTGTTGAACACTCACTGGACTCTTAGACTACTCTCCTGGGTGCTTTTCATGTATCATTAACTCAGTGAATTGAGCCATCCTATGAGGTAGGTAATGTTCTTATAAAAGAAGAAACTAAGCCACAGAGACATTGAATGCTTGTCAAAGCTCACACAGTAGATGTGTGGTAGAGCTAGGATTTAAACCCAGGCAACAGGTAGTGACTCCAGAGGCTCTTACTGTGTTACACGGACTCTATCTTCTATACCTATGTTCTTATCTCAGTAGCTACCTAAGAGCATCTGACTACAGTTCAGGATCAACTCCTCATGGCTGGTGTTGGGAAGGAGGACTAGAGGTGGTCGAATTTTAATTAACAGTAATAAATGTATGCTCAAGCTTGAAAGCTCTTTATGAGATCATTAGTGGTTGAGTGGGAGTACAAAGAAAATGGAATCCACATTTAATGGGAAAGAATTTCGTAGTAAACAGTGGGAGCAACAGTTTAAGTTACAGTGGGAGCTATAGTAACTTTGAATGTGGTTTGGAATTTTCTTGAGCTTTGGACTGGGGGTTAAACCTGGGCATGTTCTACCACTGAGCCACATCCCTAGCCACACACACCCTTTTTTCTTTTTTGAAGCAAGGGCCTCACTAAATTTCCTCAGCTGGCCATGAGTTTACAGTCCTCCTGCCTCAGTCTCCCGAGTAATTGGTTTTCTTGGTACCGGGGATCAAACTCGGGTCCTTGTACTTGTGAGGCAGGCAGCGGAACCACTGAGCTACATCCCTGGCCCTGAGTAATTGGGATTACAGACATGTGCCACATGCTTGGCTAAATTTGAGGTTTTTAATTTGTAGCAGAGAAAATGATATGACAAAGCCAGCATGGTAGTGTAAACCTATAATCCCAGCACTCACGAGGCTGAGGCAGGGTAATTGCTGTGAGTTTGAGACCTACTTGGGCTCCATAGTGAGTTGAAGACCAGCCTAGACTACATATTGAAACCCTGTCTCAAAAAACTACAAACAATCCAGGTGTGGTCATGCATGCCTATAATTCCATTTCTCAGGCAGCTGAGGCAGGAGAATCTCTACACATACAAGGCTAGTCCTGACTACATATTGAGACTGTCTCAAAAAACAAAAAACACACACACACAAACAAAATTATATGGCAGCACTGAGAAGACATCCTTAGTGTTTGCAACATTGTCCTAAAGATGGACAGGGATAAATGATAAACAGGCGTACTTGCATAGGAACAAATTTATTTTGGTCAGTTGATCAGTAAACATTTTTCGCATCATGATAATTTATTGCCCTATGTAAACTGGAAACCGCAAGGATTTGGAGATTATAAACACTTAGATGACAAAGACTTCTTGCTTCTCAAACCAAAAGCCAGTGTCGTGCTCACAGTAATACCTAAGAACATTCCTACAGATGTCAAGAAACATATAGAAGATGTTCACCATTAACATAATTTTTGTAATTGTATAAAAAAAAATATATATAAGATAGAAAAAAGAAAGATTATAAAAGAGAAGTCAAAATTACTTGCCCTTTTTCTTGGTTTGTTTTTGGGTTTTTGAGACAGGGTCTCACTATGTAGTTCAGGCTGGACTTGAACTCACTGTGTAGCCCAGGCTGGCCTTGGACTCGTGGTGCTCCTCTACCTAATTGCTAGAATTACAGTGCAGTTATATTTTGTATTATAAAAATTGAAACAGTTCTACCAAAACAGCTGAGAAATAGAGAATTGAGAAAGTTGGGTGGGTCTAACCTTAATATACAAAAATTGGTAGCTATTTGTATGCATACCAAAACCAGTTAGTTAGAAAATTAATAGAAGGAAATAAGCTATTGATTAGTACCCAGAAGATAAGCTGCCTAGATATAATACTCAATATCTATAGGAAGAATAAGTTTTGTTTTGTTTTGAAACTGGGTCTCGCTATGTAGTTGAGACTGACCTGGAACTCACTATGTAGCCAGGCTGGTCTCGAACTCACAGCGATCCTTCTGCCTCAGCCTCCTGAGTGCTGGGGTTACAGGCATGTGCCACCATACCTGGCATAGGAAGAATAATTTAAATGTTGTAATGTTTGTAAAAAGATATAAGTAAATAGAAAGACATTATGTCATTAGTTTGTTTCGAAAAGGTGACAGTTTTTAAACTGTTTTGAAAGACATTTCATCTGCAAAATACCAACAAATTTTGGGGAGGAATATAACCAAAATATACTAAAGTTAACCTGGGAAAAGTTAACAGAATCAGGAAACTGTAACTCTCTTAAGAAGATTAGAGGAGAAAGCCTTAGATAATGAAATGTGTTTGGGTGCTTCAGTTGATTGAAACAAATGAATGCTAGAGAAGAAATACTAGACTATTTGTGGGGAAAAAAACGGAGTGTAGAAATAAATGTGCATGCCTGTCAGTATTTAGATTGTGCATGCTGCTGGTGAAAGAAAGTTCAGTCAGTGACGGTGACAAACTCTTACCTTTACCTCACTCCTTATGCTGGATGTTCAGAGAGATCTGAGTGCAGCTGATGAGACCATAGAAACTCTAGAAGGAAGTTTGGATATCAGCATCACAAAATGATATAGACAAAGAAGGGAACATATTTATTAATGAGGATTCATTTTCTTTATCTTTCTTTCTTTTCTTTTTTTTTTTTTTTGGTACCAGGGATCGAGCTCAGGTCCTTTCGCTTGCGAGGCATGCGGCGGAACCACTGAGCTAAATCCCCAGTTGAGGATTCATTTTCTTCATATGCAAAGATATTTTTAAGTCAGTAAGAAAAAAGTGTCTATAGGAGAATGGACAATATGTTTGTAAGCTTAGAGTAAAAGAAACTTAAATTGTCAAAAAGTATGAAAAATCCTGAAACCTAAAATTGTAAATGACAAAACAGTTTACTCAGGTTTAAATATA